CTCGGGGAGCACGCGGCGCTCGGAGCGCGCGGCCCAGGGAACCGCTGCGAGCGCCCAGGCCTCCCCCGCACTGGGAGTGACTCGATGTATACAGCTCGTCGCTTGGTCGGCCACGGAATTCGGTGCATAGACGCCCCCGCTGCGTAACGGGTGGGATGCTGGAGCGTCTATACATCGAATCCTACCAACCCTTTGGGCGACAGGTGGTCTGAGGAGGGTCTCTTCGCTCTTCCACAACCCCTCTTCCCTTCGGGGACGGGAGCCCTCCCACTCCCTTTCCATGAGGTTTGTGGGAACGGTCGCGAGGTGTGAGAAGGTTTTTCTCGGCTTCTGGGAGGGCACATTTTTGGCACCCCGTCACGAGGATCGTGGCCCCCGAGGGGGGGAGCTACATTTAGTATTCCCCCTCTTTTGACCGACCGCCTCCAAGATGGCCCCAAGAGGCGCTCCAGGACTCCTCAGAGGCCCCAACAGGGCTCCAAGAACGCCCCAAGAGGCCCCAAGAGCGCTCCAAGAGGCAGCCGACAAGAACCCAAAAGGCCCCCGAGCGGGCTCAGAGAGCCCAACATGACCTCCAAGATGGCTCAGGATGGCTCGCACGATGCTCCAAGCGGCCCCAAGACCGCTCCAAGACGGCTCGAGATGGCCACGGAGCCTCCCGAGCCTCCCTCGCTGTTTGACTATGCGTGTCCCTTCCTCTCTCCCCCTTGTCAACTCTCATGGGCATCGTTTCTGGATGGGCTGGTGGGGATATTTTTTGTCGCAGCTGCATGCCAACGGGTTCGACAGCGTCAATAGTGAAAGCTCGGGCCACGAGCATCCTTCTGGTGGGGATACTTGTTTGATCGCGACCGCGAGCGGACACCCGCGCGGCGTCACAAAGTCAAGAAGACAAGCGAAGGGCAGCTATGCCGAGCCGGCTACGCCGCACCGTGCGCAAGCGAGAGGAAGCGAAACGACGAAGAAACAAAAGCGAGAGAAAGCGCGAAGAGAAGAAATATAGCAGAAAGAAGGCAAAAAGCGGCGACGAGAGAGAGGAACAGAGGGGGCGGGAAAGAGAAGAACAGCCGCAGCTCAGACGTGGAACAAGTAGGGGATCACCCTCGCCTTGCTGTGGTCCCATGTACTTGACGAAAGTAGGCAGCGGAGGACACGAAACCAATCCAGTCATCGGATGCCGATGCCACGTAATGACCAGGTGACCGCAGAGCCGAGGAGTGATCAACGGCGGCACGAGCACGTGGAAGCCCGACAGCGCCTTTGTTGAAGACCGAAAGGCAGTGCCCCAGGCCATTTCCAGCGCCGACAGGGTGAGGGGGGCCACCCGCCCCTCGTGCTCAGGGGGGAGCATAGGGTGCAGGGCGCCCGACAGAGAGGCAGCAGACAGCCGCCAAGAGCTCGATTACCTTCAGGGGGGAAGCGGCTGACAGCCGCAGGAAGGTAGGTCTCCGCGCCAGTATCGCCTGAGACCAGCCCGCGGCCCTGGGGGTGCAGCGAGCAGCCGCGGTTGCAGAAATGCTTCGCCTGAGACAGACTGGCGCCCAGCGGGGGTGAAACTAGCGGCCGCAGAGTGAAGAGAAAAGGTTTCACCGAAGGAGCCCTGAGACATGGCCGGAGTGCAGCTAACAGCCGCAGAGCGTTGGGGGAATGCTTCGCCTGAGACATTCAGGTCCTCTGGTAGGGTGCAGCTAGCAGCCGCAGGATGGTGGGAAATAGTTTCGCCTGAAACGTGCAGCTGCCCGGCAGGGGCGTGGGTAACTGGGGCGGTCCATGGGGTACGGGCCTGCCTCGACGGTTGGGGTGCAGCTAACAGCCGCAGGATGCTGGGTAGTGGTTCCGCCTGAAACGAGTCGATGCCCTGCTGGGGTGCAGCTAACAAACGCAAAGTGATGGGAAAACGTTGCACCTGAGACATCCCGATGCTCGGCCAGAGCGCAGCTGACTGCCGCAGTGTGATGGGGGATTGCTTCGCCTGAGACGTCCTGGTCCTCTGGTAGGGCGCAACTAACAGCCGCAGGAAGATGGGAAATGGCTATCTTCGCCTGGGACATACGGATGCACTGCGGGGAGCAGCGCACGGAGGAGTAACCGGATGCCGCAGCCAGCCACGAACCGGGTGGGGTGGTCACGAGAGGACCGTCGAGCCCGACCCGAGCCCAACCCGTTCCACACCAGCGCAGCAGACAGCCGCAACGGCATGGAGCGGGCTGTGGACACAACGGCCGGAGGAGACGGCGGTCGAAAAGGGGCCCAAAGGGCAATCGACCAGAAGGAGGGTGGTGAGGCGACACCAAGGAGCCCGTGGGAGCTACCAGGTGCAGGAAGGCGACCCAGGCGAACCCAGTGCCCGCCGGGGGAGGTATGTGCACGTGGGCGCGGGGTGGACACAGCACGGAAGACCGCCCTGTGGCTGCCAGGCTCTCCCGGGGGGGCAGAGCGGCGCAGCAAAAATGCGGGGCAGCAGGGGGCCGCAAAGTGGCTGCCGCAAGGGAACTACTGGTGGGGATACTTTTTGTCAGCGGCCGCGGCGAGTCCAGTCAGAGCGGGCCGCGCAAAGATGAATTTACCTGCTGGTGGGTCAAGAATTCTTTCGCCGAGCTCCCTGGTTCCCTGGCCGACCGAACGACGTGGCGTATACGTCGAGGCCCTCCAACGCACCGGCTCCGCGCCGCGCGTGCAGCCACCGTGCTACCAGCAGGAGCCCCGCATACTCAGACGTGCTCGCGCCGTGGGCAAAAATCGGGGCGGGAGTTTCGTCGGCCGCTTCTGGGGCCCCGGAGGCTCTCGCCGGGCACAGGGGCCACCAACGTAGCGACTCCAGGCGGGAAGCCATCCCCGGGGAACGGGCCGGGCCTTCCATGGATCCTGGTATTGACAACATCAAAGTATTTATCGCATGCGTGGGGAGGAGCGCCACTTCGGGAGCGAAGGGGCTTTTTCCTGGCCACGGCGAACCTCGGCCACGACTGAAACGAGTGCCACGACCTCCATCTCAGAGTGACGGCTCGAAAACCCGCGCCCCGCCAGAGCCCCAGGTGGCCCCTCCTCCAGCGTGCCGCGAGGACCAGGAGCGTGCGCCGCCGATCCTGCGCCCCTCCATCCCGAGCGCTCCTCGATCCTCGATCCTGGTTGGGGGGGGGGGGCGCAGAGATACCGACACCGCCCCTCCCCAGACCAGCGCGTGTGAATTCCGAAGGGTCTCCCTGGAGGCCCACGACGGCGAAACCAAAGGAGGGACAGCGACATCGGCACCCCCCCCTGATCTGACGTTGCGAAAAACTGAAGCGTCGCAGAAAATCACGACCGGAGCCCAAGACCCCATCTTTCTGCTGCGCGTTGCAAGCTAGATTTGTGAGGGTGCTGGGGACCCAAACCTGGCGACAACGCCTGGCTCAACAAAAACAGACCTAGATAGTAAGGAAGCCAGGAACCCTTTGAGAAGGAATCCTTCGTAAAGAGCCCGTGGTAAGGAGTCCTTCTATTAAGGCTTAAGGCACGCTTGGGCAGGGGCCTTTGGTTTCTTACTGGAGAATCCGTAAGGAGCCTTCGATAGTAGATTCGTATTTGGGAATGGTTTGTCAAGAATTTATTCAGGAATCCCGAAGGGTGGATATAGATATAATCGCGGGTCATCAACAAGGAACCCTTAATAAGGCTCCCGTACGAAGAGGGTCCTTAGCAAAATACCAAGAGCAAGAACTCCTTTGAAGGATATCCTTAGTACGAAATCCTTGCGAACGGGTCCTGAGTAAGGAGTCCTCCATCACGAGTCCTGACCAGGGATCAAAGGACTAACGATTCCTTACTGGCGCCTCCTTGGTGCGGACTCTTTAGTCGGTAATCCTTAGTAAGGAGATCTTCATAAAGAGGCCCGTGCGACATATATATATATATATATATACCTACATATATGTATATATGTGTGTGTGCGTGCGCTTGCTCAAAAGGGTATTTGTGACGGGGTCCTTGATATTGACTCCTGGCTGAGTAAGGGACCCTTACGAACAAAACAAAACAACTTGCCCAGGATGCCTGAATTGCGGATCCGTAATAAGAACCTGTTTGTGAAGAATCCGCACGAATAATCATTCGTACGGGATCCTTGAGAAGGCAAGAACCCTTTTGTGGAGTCCAGACCAGCGAATCCGCAGTCCTTTTTCTTGAGTGGAACACCGTGAACAGGAATTCCACCGTAGGCGATGCTCATAAAGAATTATGAGACAGGATGCCCGGATGGGGGATCTTTTTTGTAAGGAAGCTGCAACTAAGAATTATCTGGAAGGAAGCCCATAATATGAACTCCCTTTGTAAAGAACCATCCATAAAGAACCGTGTTGTAGTAATTCTTACCAGGAAACGCTGAGTCAGGTTTGCTTACCAAGGAACCCTTTTTAAGGAATCATTGGTAGTGGATCCTGATTGCCGAAACTTTAAGAAGGAATCCACAGTAAGGAGCCCTCAATCACTATTCTTACATAAGGGCACCTTAGAACAAAAACTTTTTTTTTAAAAAAAAAAAAAAAAAAAAAAAAAAAAAAAAAAAAAAAAAAAAAAAAACATAGGGAACCGTGCAAACATCCAGAAAACAAACTCAACTCAATAAGTGAATGGTTTGGACATTCGTGATATGGATATTGTAATCGATGGTGAGATCGATCGTAGGACCGATGGTGGGATCGACCAAAAAACCGGGAACCCGGAAAACCGGGAACCCCGCTGCCCACCGAAATCGCTCCGGAACCAGCAACTGGAACCAGGGAGCCAGGAACTGGAAAGCAGGGAACCCGGCAGCCCACCGAAATCGGACTGGTACGTTCGCCAAATCTTTCAATCTCTGCTGAGACCCCGTCACTGCAAGCACTGATCCAGGGATAAGGTATCCGAAGTAATGGATGCTGTGTAAGCCGCCCGTAGTAACGAGTGCTTGTCAAAGAATCCTGAATTAAACATCATCCAAAACAATCACATGACTACAGAACGATTTTCAACGGTTCCGTGGC